TCGAGCTATCAACAATTTGAGAAGATTGAGAAGTTCATGGAAGTTGTGACTACAAAGTTTACCTCGGTTGAGGTGGGTTTGAGAAGCCACCAAGCTAGTCTTAAAAGCTCAAAATCTCAAATCAACAACCTTGTCAATATTCTCACCGAGCGTCCTCACGGAGCCCTACCTTTCCAAATTGTGGCCAACCCTAAAAATCCAACGGCCGGAGTTAATGTTATTACACTTCTAAGTATGAGGGTAACTCAAGAATTTACTCCAAAGGAAGTCATTGAAGAAGAAACCGAAACTACTCCAACGGTTGAAGTAGACAAAGCAGAGTCTGGGGATAGAATGGAAGAAGAAGAGGCGAGGAAGGCATCACCGAAGTCACCACTTGTGGCTGAATACAAGCCTCCAATTTCCTTCCCCTCTCGAGTTCACAAGGACTAGTTGGACGACGAGTTTGGTAAGTTCATGTGGATGATCAAGAAGCTTAATGTGTCGGTCCCATTCTTAGAGGCAATGGCACAAATGTCGAGGTATGCAAAGCTACTCAAGAGGCTCCTCTCCACGAAGCAAAAATCTTGAAGACCTTGATTCGTTCACCCTAAGAGAGAAGTGCTCGGCAACCATTCAGAACAAGTTGCCCCAAAAACAACAAGATCCAGGTAGTTTCACTATCCCTCTTAGCATTGGATCATGTCATTTAGAAAAATCCTTGGCGGATCTAGGATCAAGCATTAATGTGATGCAATACAAGCTATACAAGAGACTAGACCTAGGTGAACTTAAATCTACTAGGTTGAGTGTTACATCGGCTGATCGTTCCATAATGCGACCTAAGGGCATTGTGGAAGACGTCCTCGTATGAATCGACAAGTTTTTCTACCTATCCAACTTTGGATATGCCGCTCATACTAGGATGCCCTTTCCCTGCCACCGCCAAGGCCCTAATAGATGTGAATGAGAGAAATTTGATTCTAGGAGATGGTGAGGAGAGTATTACCTTTTCGATCGATTCCCCCGTTAAGGTTGAGAATGTATATGGGATCGAGTCAAATGGTGTGCTTGTGAGTGGTGGAGAGCCTCCCCCCGGGGAGGAAATCCTCATTCGTTCCCCTTGTGTCTCTGGTTTTATGAAAAAGGATGAGAAGGTGGGAAAGAAACCCGTGACCGCCAAAAGGAAGGCTTGGCGCCAAAAAGATGAAGGATTGGTCGAGAAACCGGAGCAAAGGTAAGGCCAAAAGTTCAAGGACAAGAAGGCCATCCTTCCAAGGAAATGATAGGAGGTGAAACACCTCGCCCCGAAACCATGTCGAATCCACTCTCGGTGGCCTCATGATCCAATGCATGATGATTAATCCTATTAAGTTATAGAGCACAATTCTATTATGAGTAAAGGGAACCAGAAGACAACAACGGTTCCATGGTCTAGTGGTCAGGACATTGGACTCTGAATCCAGTAACCCGAGTTCAAATCTCGGTGGAACCTCAGTTTTTATCCTTCTTCTGTTTTTCGCTCTCTCCATAGTCTGCTGCCTGTTTTTTTTTTTTTTTTTTGTAACAGTGTCAAATTGATTCCTTTCATAGCCTATCCACGCCGTCGCGCGGGATTCAAGCCCTAATAGTAGTGCCACTCTCCTCATTCCGCCGCTGTTCAGCCGGCGACGCTCGGAATGGAGCCGGACATCCAACGGAAAATCGAGGCAACGGTGGTCGACATTCTCAGAGGTGTCGACATGAATCAGGCGACCGAGTTCAATGTCCGGTTCATGGCCTCCATGCGTCTCGGCATCGACCTCTCCAACATCGAGAGCAAGAAGTTCGTCAGAGAAATCGTGGAGTCCTTTCTGCTCTCCTCCGCGGGCCCGCTCGGTGACGCTGAAGACCACCAGGCGCTCGACGACGACGGCCGTGTCGCCGGAGAGACCAGTGAGGCGAGGAAGGAGGTCGAGCTGGATGGCTATGGAAATCGCGTTATTTGCAGGGTAATAATAACATTCCCTCTTCTTCTTTGGCCCCTTCGATCTAATTTTTACTTTTTATGTTTGTGCTACTCTATAAAGCTTCAAGCAAACTTTGATGTTGGCTTTGATTTCAGCTTTCGGATAGACGGAGCGTGACGGTGCATGACTACAACGGGAAGTCTCTTGTTTCAATCAGAGAGTGGTTCTTGAAAGATGGTTTGGAGCTTTTCTCCAATAGAGGTAAAAGTTTTCATCTTCATGATCGTAGTTAGATAAGCCCGGAGGATACTTTGTCTATGGAATTTCTGCAATGCAGTGTGATTAGTGAGTAGTTTAGACCGTAATTCCTGCCAATGGAAGCTATGAATGTGCTTTTCTCTGTGGCAATTGAATGACTGAGATAAGATGGGCCTCAAGGATTTCGTTCAAAATGACCACTTGGTTGATATTTAGGGTTCTCTCTTGACTTGAGTGGTTAACTCTAGTCTTGCCGAAACTTACTGTCAACACTTCTTGTTTCAGGAATTAGTTTGCCTTCTGAACAGTGGTCAGTGGTGAGAAAGAGTATGTCTGACGTGGACACTGCCATCGCAGAGATGCAATCCAGGTTGAGGTAAAGAGTCCTTTGCAGTTGTGTTCAGTACTGCAGTTGTTTGTGCTATAAAGTCTTGCTGATTGGTAATGCTCATAATAATGCAGAAGATCTGATGATCTCAATGGTTCAAGAACGGAGAAGTGTAACTCGGTCCCACAGAAAGTTGCTTCTACTTCGACTGTTCTGCGTAGTGAGAAAGTTCTAAATGGAGTGTCTACCTCTTCAACTTCAACCAGGGCTGAACTACAGAGCGAGGAAGTCTCTAATGGGGTAACTACTTCTACCCCATGTGCAGAAATCCCTTCTTTACCAGTTGCTTCTACCCATTGCAATCCTGTCTCTGATCCAGCTATTGCTTCTGCTCCTGAAGAAAATGTACCCACTGCAACTGCAAATTCTGCAGCAGAAGAAGGTATTGCTTGGGTTAGTGTGGACCGTTTTGATGGGAAGAACTATAAGAGCTGGGTGATAAACATGGAGCTTTTCTTGAAGCAGTTAAAGGTTGCACATGCGCTCTCTGATCCTTGTCCAGTGGTTGCCGTACATCCTGGATCGAAAAATCCTGAACAGATGATACCTCCGGCTAAAAAAGCTGCTGAGAGGAAGTGGCTTAACGATGACCATTTGTGTCGCCTCCACATTTTGAGTTGCCTCTCCGATTCTCTTTATCATCAATTTTCAAAGACAACTCATACTGCAAAGGAGTTATGGGATCAGCTGAAACAAGTTTATCTCTATGAGGACTTGGAGTCAAAGAGAGCCCAAGTGAAGAGGTACATTGAATTTCAGATTGTTGAGGAAAAGTCAATTTTCCAGCAAGTCCATGAATTAAACAATATCGCTGATGCCATTGGAGCTGATGGAACTATTATTCATGAGAACTTCCATGTTAGTGCTGTCCTCTCAAAGCTTCCACAATCATGGCAAAATTTCTGCATCAAGTTAAAGCACGAGGAGCATCTGCCTTTCCGGATGTTGATGGACATGATAAAGGTCGAGGAACAGTTGCGTACAGGGGGGAGCAAGCAAGTGGAATTTGCCAATAATCACCTCAACAACCACAACCACCATGCCAACAATCTAGGGCCGAGGACAAGAGAGCTGAAGAGACCAGGTGTGATGCAGTGGACGAGGCATGGAACGGGAACTGAGATGGAGAGCAACAGGTTGCCCATCTGCTTTTGTTGTGGGAAGAAGGGTCACTTTGCTAACCAGTGTCGCAACAGGAAATTCGACAATGAAGATCATCATCCTCATCAACATCATAAGTCATTCACCCACTCTGTTAAAGGAGGTGACCCATGGCCGTACTGAGTATGCTACGAAATCTTCACTGTTCTCTGAGAGGGTAAGGGCCATAAATGGTGGCCACACTGTTGTTCCTTCCTTTCTGAAAACTTTGGCTATGGAATCGATATTATAGCCATGTGTGGAAGCAGTCTTTAGATGTCATATATATACATCATGCATCTACCAGTAGTTGTAGGCTTATCTGGTGTCATTTCTTTCGGTTTAGAGTAATTTTACAACTGTACTATACCAAAAGTTTGTTATGTTTGCAGGTAGGGCTGGCTTCTGGAATCGCACTTCTCAGTTCTCAGTGCCTTGTGGTCTACTCCTGGATTTTGTTTTTATGCTGTACGTTTTTGTAAGACAAGACCAACAGTCGCTCTCGAAACCTACAAAGGTTCATCTAGTTAGAGTTATTTGCTGTGTTTGTAAAACCGTACCATGTTAGCATCAGACGGGGGAAATCTTTTATTGGAAGCTAAATTGTTAGGTAGTTTTTAGAGGTATGAAAATGATCGAACTATGATTAAATCACGCTTTTAATATTAAATACTTTATTGTCGATCTTTCGATGTGTGTTGGCGATCCTACCGAAAAAAACTTGAAGGCTAAATCGATAGGTAGTTTTTACCAGTATGAAATGCTTGAACTATGTATTATATTGCTGACTTTTTCGATACAACATCTATTAAATAACCATGGCAAGCTACTCTATAGAAGCAAGCATGAAAATAGAAATCATTTTTGCCATCTCCCATGTGTGATGAATAATCAAAAGAATCCTAACTCAAGTTGGTAACTTTATACACCTCTTTTGCCTTTGACGGAGACTAACGGAGAGTGACCAAACTTGAACTATTGAACTAATCTTAGTGACCATGAATGGAATTAAATATTTGCAGTGACCAAACATGAACGATTTTAGTAAACCCAGTAACCATCCTTGCAATTAACCCCCTTTGTTTTTTTACTTCTTTTCTTCTTTCTTTTTCATTTACTCATCTCATAAAAAGGAAAAAGAACAAAAATGTGAAAGAGAACAGAAGCACCTAACTCAAGTTCAAAGGCTCGAATCAATGGATCACTGGTTACCCGTGAGGAGGAAGATTGTAACAACACAGCACACAACCCCAAGTTACACTGATCAGCAACATATCATACTCTAGGGAAGATCAACAATATGTACGTTTAATTGCGTTAAATCATGTCATATGTACGTATAATTTTTTGTTACATCTTGCCAAAAATGAGCTGCCTTTTCTTACATAAACTCCACATATATGTACATAAAACACCAGCAGAAAGTCCTTTTAAAAGTTGATGATGCTGTCCTCACTGTTCTTCTCGTCCAACTTTATTTACACAGCTAAGGATGGTTCCGTCTATAAGATCCTCAAAAATGGCTTCACCAATTTCGTCTATCACGGTTTGAGTATCTCGTCGAAGTTCCATCCACGAGCTGTCTGTATCCATGCCTTTCTCGACCAACGTTTCCAAGATATGAGGCAATGGCAGGGGCATGAGGTGGCAATGAACTATTTCCCATACCTCATGAATAGTATTCTCCATGTCGGGTACTGGTCGAATGGAAGGCATTGCCAAGGAGAACCCAGGGGAGCAACTGAAGTAGCGCTCATAAACCTGCACAAGAGCTTCATCGGTACAATCGAAAAGGAGTTGCTTATCAGAGCAAAGCTGGTTAGGGAAGAACTGGAACTCTTCACAGCTTGACGGATCAAGGATCTGGTCTAAGGAATCTGACATTAGATACAGCTCCTCCCAGTTTATACCAGATGCTAGGAGTACACTCCTTATGAACTCAAATATACAATCTGTTTCCTCTGTACCATTTTTCAGATGGATTTCTTCATCATCACCATGTAGACTGTCGACCTCTTCAAACTGAATCCTCAGGGGTTGCAGCACTGGAAGGTTCAAGTGAAGAGTTCTATGAATAACGATACTTGCATAAAAGTATGTAGATATGTGAAAGTTCAGGTACTAACTGTAAGCCATTCAATGTTCAGGTACTTAATGATATTTTTACGATGTCCAACCCAGTAAACCAACAAACCGAATGGAGGTGACTCAAATGGGTTGGGGTTAGACGGTTTTTAAGTAGATGGGTTTGGGTTGATATTTGCAACCTCTACACTTGATAAGCCATGTGTGACAAAACTCAAGCAGAAACCTCAAGTTTGTTAGCAAACATTTAGGTAGGAATAACTCACCAGATTGGGATCTAGTCGCTGCTGGACTGACTTCATCATCTGTGTAAAGTGGATCAAGGACAGATACAGGACTCGGCCGACCTTGTATCTCCTTAGGCTCGAGAGCCTGGCAGATTTTGCCGATTGATGTGGGTGGAGAACAATCCTGGAGAAAGGAGCAGTAAGGTTATATGTACAAGTTGTGGAAGCTAAATGCAAGAAAAAGATCTAGAGATGGGAGAAAGAAAAGAAAATAGTACATGCTCAAAGATATCAGTGTCTCCTCTCTCCTCACGAGCATTGCAAGTACCAACATTCTGGTTATTAATAGCATCATAACAGCTGCTAGTTTCGGAAAGATAACCAATGAAGTTGATATCTTCTGAGGACATAATAATCTCAGTGACCTTTTCAATCTCCAAACCACCTGCATAAAATGAAGACCGTTTTTCGGCATTATCAGTAATTAAGGGACATACAACAAATTTCCACCTCCCCTGGTAACATTGAATATGAGATTGGGCAAACAATAACCTTGAGCAGTCACTTCATTCGCATTCTTTTCTTTACCATCACGAACATGTTCCTTAGGAAAACTTGAACTTGGATCACAAGGAATCTGTCCTTTATTATCAGAGATGATGTCATCAGATAGCTCTGAGCTCAGTGATATTCGACCTATCTGACTTTCCAGTCTCTGAAATTTTTCGATGTTTGGTAAGCTCATCCGTGCTGGTATGAAACCATACCACAAATCGCCCCCAGAACTGCCACAGGAAGAAGAATTGTACTCTGGGGAAGAGAGAATCCTCCCAAGTGGTTTTGGATTTGGTTCGCTCAGAAAAGCTTCGCCTGTAGGACCATCTGTCAGTATCTCTGAGAGGTGCTTCTTCTTAGCTTCAACGTAGATGTTCGATGTCCTTGATTTGGGAAGAATATTATTAACTTCTTGCTCCTTCCCTTTGTCAAATTCAATGGAATTGGCACCATTCTCACCTTTCCTGGAACTCGTTGGGTATCTGGCAATTCTTTCCATGAAGAAGTGTTCTTTACTGGGACCTCTTCTACCAGAACTGCTTTCATTCAATCTTCTTCGGTCACCTTCTTTACCAGCCCAAGTAGGCTCATTGGGATGTCTATTTGATATGGTGGAGCCCTCTTGCCGCTCTCTACCCATGGCAGTTCTCAACCTTCTTTTTATTTCAGTCAGGGAAAAATGGGACCTGTTTTTTCCATTTCCTTCTTTATTTCTGAAGCTCATTTCAAGTTGAGGCGATGAGCCGAGACCTTTTTTGGTTTCAGAATCTTGCAAACCTTTTTGCCCTGGCTTCAAAATGACAATCCTGTTTGTATCCTGAGGGGAGACGTTTCCTTTTGAAATGGTCCTTTCAAGATACTTGGACTTCCTTCTAAAATGTTTGCCATGTTTGGTTGCTGAAACTTCGTTGGCTTGCTTTGAGACACATTGCCTTTGTTCTGCTACACTAGTTCCAACAGGTGACTTTGACTCTTCCCCATTAGCTACCTGAAGATTCCCTTGCCCTTGCAAGACTTTAAGAAGCAATTCCTCATCGGAACATATAATCTGCAGAGCATCCTTAAGTGCCTGAGACTGATCAATGCTGTCATCTTCTTCTTGATGCTTTCTGTGTTTGACCTTTTGACTAACAAGAAGCTGTTTGATCTCTTTGAGTTTCCCTTCAAAGTCATCATTAATCCTCTGGCTAAGCTGATGATGGAGCTCACTGCCTTGGTCCTTTCTCAAACGACGACTACTGCTTTTTCGATGGTTGAATTCCTCTATTCTTTTCTTACCTATCTCACCATCATACATGAACGCCTCTGAATTGTGGGGGCAAGTTAGTTCAGCAGCAGTACAAGCAACATGGGCTTCTCCATGCACTTCGCAACCTTTTCTGCGACTAGTTCTCTTGGTGTCGCTTCTTCGTTTCCCCTTTAAGATCAATTCCATTTCACCACCGATTGTCTCGCTCACAGACAATTGCTCGTCTAACAAATCTTCCTCTATGAGTTCCTTCACACTTGGCCTACGTGTTACCACCACATTTTCTTCACCATCCTGCCACATTAAAAGATAGATGAATATTATTTTTTTACCCAAAAGAAGAATAAGAAAATGACCTGCAAAATAAGGTTACCTGATCATGTTCATCAATATCTGTGTCATGCATAAACTTTTGCTTTTCAGCACCTACAAAGGATGATAAAAGTTAACACCACAACCAAATGCAAGCTTTCATCAGGAAACAAAAAGCCACCCAGAATTCATAATTCAACAAGTTTCTATCAGGCGATAGGCAATCTGTGACACAAAATCTCTTACACTTGAAGCCAGATGATGTAGATAATTACGAAAGCCTACATACCAGCAGCACGAGGCCGGCTTGTGTATCTCCTATCTAAAAGCATCTTCTGACTGAAGCGACCATATCTGAAGTCCAACATGCTAATCAAGCTCCACATACAGCCTGATTTCTCGCATCGAGCATGTGAAAGTCTCTGCGTGCTCTTCCCCATAATTAGTGTATCTACTACCTTCCCCTTGATGCTTGAATCATACAAGTCCCCTCACCAACATCTGCAGTATAACTCTGATATGCAAAGAAAGAAGGATTAAGAACAGTGAGGGCCAGAATGTCAAGCTTAACAAATTTTATGATATACAGTTCCTTGCATGTTAAGCCAGACAACATCATTTAGGTATAATGCCCGACAATCCCCAACATCAAATCTAACTAAAGCTGAGAACATTGAAGAGAACAATAGCAGGAAAAGAGAAATTAAGAGATTCATACGAAACACACATCCATCAGGAAAAGGAGAACTAGAAGAGAGACATGACATACAATCAGAGAGAAATCTGAGGGAAATTGGCCTAACAAGAATCTTCTAGGAGGCCATGGTTGTGTTCCAACCATGGACCCCTGAAACTGTTTTATGTTTAATGCATGAGAAGGCTCTTTTCCCCCCTTTCCCCCCTTCCTCTTGGATCTTCTTTACAGGACAGCTAATTCATGAACATTGTACTAAGAATTTCTTTAAAATATGGAATCAAGAGTACCCTCTGGAAATTGGGAAAGGCCAACACGAGGAACAAAGAAAGAAACCGCGTAGAATTGGCATATTATTCCCCCAAACCGACAAGACGTGAATCAAAAAGTATGAGTCAACTCCAGAACTCTAAACCTTTCCTCCACTAACAGAAATAGAAACCCTTTTAAGCTATGGGGAGGGCAAAATTCGCCAGAATGAAAGAAAGAAAAAACGTGGGTGGGTGGAATGTAAATGAACTAAACTTAAAGAAGAGAAGACAGTATAATTTCGACTTCGAGAGTTGACGCAGAGCTCAAATTGTGCCAACAGCAGAGCTCATCATAATCAACTCAAATTCATCAACAATATGGTGTAAAAGTAAAACCCACTTTGCACATTAGCCATAAACATCGAAATACCAGTAACCACGAAGAGCTTAAAAAGTTAAAAAGACAGAGCTAGCATCAGAATTAGCATCTTCCAGCACCTACCCAGTACGTTTTCAGAAGGAAAAGGCGGGTATTTCTCATACAGGCAGGCAGAGAAGGATCAGAGTGAAGCTGGGTCTGTGAATCGATGCCGATACTGATTGGACCATTGTCAAAGACAAAGTGGGGAGGAGGAGCCCTGGTTTGAAGCTAATCTTTTACTATGCCGTCAAATCCTCCATTGCCGCCTTCTGATAAGTTCTTCCGACTTACCAATCCATAATCAAGAGTCGCACTTCTTCCCACTCTCTGATTGCTGCTGCTGCTGCTGTTTCTCAATACTCTCTTGGGGAACTTTTTTGCTGGGCAGCAGACAGAGCCCTTTTCAACGGCTTTCTTGATCGTAACGATGAAAGTTCTCGCAATACTAAATGGAGCGCACGCCAAATACAAGAAAAATAAAATAGGCAACAATATGGACAACGATGAATAGAAAGCTTGTCAGTTTATACCTTTTTGTCGGTTTGTGATCCGACTGTATAAAATGTAAAATCGGTATATGGTCGGTTTTAATAGAATACGGAAGAAAAATTAGAAAAAACATTAGTAATGCCAAATGAATCGTACTTATATATAACGTATTTGAAAGCGATCTTCCTACGAAATTTAAATAAAATACAACTTCACAAACAAAATGATAATTTCTTATATTTAAATAGAATATTTAGCCTCAACATCCAAACATTTATATTGGAATCCAACAAAGAATTTCAACATCTATATTTATATAAAACATAGTATTACATACTAAATCACAAGTCTTCATATTTAAATACACAATTTTATTGTTAATTAAATTTACCAAAAAGATGCTAATGGGTCGGAAATTCTTCATACAGGTTGGGCCACCAATTTTCTCAATATCGATCGATTTTGACTACCACTTCATATTGGGGTATTCGAACTTGTTTGTGTTAGGTACGGGTTAAACCCAGTTGAACCGGTAAACATACAACCAGTTTTAGTTTAACAACTATGAATTATACGATGATGTTGTCATCAAATCAAACTCAAACAACAAATCATTTATGTGATTTTCCCAATAATTGGGATTGGTTCCTGAAGTATTTCATACTGCCCGAGCTACTAATCTTATTATGTTTTTCTAGTTTGTACTCTCTTGAGTCTCAACTTCAAGTACAAGTACAAGCACATATGACATATGTACAACTAGGGCAAAGCTACTCGGTACAACCTAGACTCCCAATTCATAATTATGCCTCTTGAACCTTACATTAATACATACACATACAAACTAAGCCCGCAAAAGATAAGTATCTACAATAGCCTCCTCCAAATTGATGTTGCTCCCGAAGCATCAATAGTGCTCTATAAATACCGATGGAGACTCGTCAAGGAAGCCTTGGTGAACATATTAATTAGCGAGCTGATGATCACAAGCAATATAATGAAATTTAATAACCCCATCGTGAACCAAGTCTTGTATATAGTTAATTGGAACCTAGATTTACTTGGTACGATAATGAAAAACAAGATTGACAGCAATCTGGATTGTGCTAGTGTTATTAGCGAAACATGGTCATGGGAGAAAGAAATGTAGCTCCCGAATCTCCAAATAGGCGTTGCATCCAGATGAACTCGAGCCCAACATCCAACTTTGCTTGATATTAAGCTTTCATAGTAGACTTTCAAACCTTACCCTGCTTCTTAGAATGCAAATTGACGAGGTGTTTGAGAAGAAAATGCATCATCAAGTGGTTGAACGTAGAGGATACCTACAATTATGGAGCATAAACCACATCCTCTAAGTGTCGATTGGGCTTCAAATTTAGCTTCATAGGGGTAGTGACTGATCGAAAGTTTACAAAGGCAGTAGAGCTCAATAAATATAATTTATTTTGATGACTAATCAAAAGCACCTGAAAAGGCTCAGAGATCTAGAAAATAAACATGTTCCTTTTAACTAAACAAGGCATGAAAACCATCTTCGAGTGCCTACCTGAATCCCATAATAACCATGACATTCAACATTAAAAAAAGGACGAAAAACTAAGATATGACGTTCAAGCTTTCTCGAAGACCAAACTTAATAAAATTGTTTATTGAAATTTTGATATCGGTGAGTAGGTCCAACGACTCTGTCACAATAATATGTTCCTTTTCATGTGATGTACATGTACTCCTATTAAATATCAAGCAAAGAATATAATTGAACAACCACAAGATTCATGATGGTTAGGGCGCAAGAGGGCCCGTAATTAAATATATTGTCCATTAAGAGGAATACGACCATTAATAATGATCATTGTTTATACCGGACGGAGGCCAAACTCCATTAATCGCCGGCAATACCTCATCATCAACAAACTAAACCAAAAATTAATTAATTGGTTGTGAGTTTTAAGGAACAGCTAGCTTGGTAATAATAAGGAGGTTAATAATATACCAACCATGAGTTGCAGTATAGTTGTAGTTATTATTTTTTCACTTTTTGTAATTATAGACGTATTTTCAGTTTTTTTTATGACTACAAAATCATAATTGTAGTCATTATTTTTACCGTTATAGTAACGGTTTTTAACTTTTTTGGGCAGTTGTTTGGAATATTGGACAGAAGCTTTGGTGGTTGTCATGTAATGTCAGGAAATGATGTCAAGAAGCTGACCCAATTTTGGCGGGACGGCTTTATCATTGTATGTTTGTTAATAATCTTTCCAAACCCTTATCTCGTATTCGTTCGCTGAATTACAGACATAACTAAATTTGTCAATTATTTTCGTTAGAGACAGAAATAAATTTTCTTGTTTATTAGCTATTCACTTTATACTCAATTTCATCGTAAGTTAATGATTCTCCAATTTCGTTCATCCGTCTTACTTAGCAGTCAATTATATCCTCTTAATTTCTATGGTGATGTGACAATTATTTTTAATACAAATTGGCCTTAACCAAAGACTTACCGAAGGAAAACAAAAAAGCTGCAGAATGAGAAGCGTTCGACTAAAAAAAAATCTAAGTTAAAACAGATACAAACCGATTAAAAAAAAAAGTAAGAAAAACTGAAAAACTTTTAATCTCATACCTTAAATTTGTCTCACTCAAAATAAAAATAAAAAAGTTAAGAAGAGAGGAAAAAATTCAAGGAATGGTGGTTCTTGTTCTGAACAAATTTCAAACTCGAGACATAAGATTAAGCTGAAATAGCCATCACCGGCTCGTTCACACATATACAACACACGGCTCCGCCTATGCAAGCTTCATAGTAGAATTCCATCCATCTACGTTAACAGAGAGCGGAAGGAGTGATGCATTGTTCTCATCAGAGGCAAAAAATTAACGATAATTCGGAAACAAGGATGGATATTCACCTTAGGAGATGCTGAGCTTGCAGATTAATCTGTTTCGATGGCTTCTTTTGTTACTTCTGTGAAGGCGAATTCTGAAACCAGAGCTAAGTGATCACTTCCTAGCTTCTGTACAAGCATGAAACTATGGTCAGCAACAGATACAAATGACCTTTTTTCCCCCAGTAGATTAAGACATGTGATCGTGGTCCGCTGATTATAGGATATCTTATCGATGGGTTGCAATCACGATCAGTGAGTGTGCAACCGGTTTGCTTGCAACATGTAGTCACACCACTATCATTGAGTTGCTTCTAGCAACAAGTCGCGTCCTGAAAAAAAGATTGCACAAACGAAAAGCGATGTAGTATTGCACGATCAGCATTGTTACCTTGCAAGGAAGACCGCCTATTCTCTTGAGGAAATCCAACGGAAGAGTATCGAGAACTCCGGTGGCCTGAATTCCACTAGAATGCCTACAAGTTTCACAGCTTTAATTAGAGAGCCCCGCTGCAAAGGGAAAGAAACCAGTGTTGTCTCAATCTCAAGGGTAAAAAAAAGTATTGTGTAATCACCACAGGTAGTCAACAGTCCCAACAAATTTTGAGTGGAATGATGTTGCTAGAGGTTCACCACTGAGGTCTCTTGTCGTTTTGGAACCCTGAAAATGAGTAGTGTTAGAGAGTCATCAATGACATTTGAAATGGAAGATCCAGAATATATGCGGCAAAAGGGTGGAACTGGAATATCATTTTTAATTCACGAGTTATGAAACAAAAAAAGTAGTCTCATATTCATATACATGAACTGTGGCATAGGAGCTGCAGAGCTTCAAAGGGTGTTTAGCAAAATCACGGTTAGAGTGGCCAGTTGCAGCCTCAACTTCCTCAGCTGTCCAGGAACTCTCGAGAAACCTGCAATTGGACAATGCTTCAATGCATTTAGAATTGCAAGTAGACCACACTAGCAACACCTTGTGTGTAATTAGAATTTCTTATCAAAATGAGAACAAGACACTGACAAAATACTTTGTGTAATTACTGTAATGGACTTCTCCGAGCACAAGCTATAACTAGGGCTGGGGAGCAGACAGATTACTGTTATGACTGAGAGAATCACCTGTCTATTAATACAAAGGGACTTCCAGCTTCTCTTTTGGCACCGAAAACTTCAGTGGGATGGAAGTTCCTCTGTCCAGACAAGTTTTTTCTATCGTGCAACTTTACATTGAGCTGCATCCAGAATAATTCTTGTTTCAAGAAAATAAAAATCAAGTAGCGGTCTTTCATTCGCGAGGAAAATCAGATAACGATTTGAGTTATAATTACAGAAACATGACCAATATCGAAACTGGAAGTAGCACACATCGTTCTTTATACATTCACCAACCACAAAGCCATTTACCTTGGATGATGATAAGAACTTGTATATTGCACTCTGTTGAAGGAGGAAATGCATTAAACTTTGCTCAGGAGTATTCGACATTGCTCAACAAAAATGAGGAACTTGACCAAACACCTGGGGAGTGCTATTGAAGTCACCGGTCAAAATAACAGGGACGTTACCCCATTTCTCTGAGAGATACTGTGCCCTCGAAGAGAGAAAACGAATCTGAAAGTGAGAAATCCATGTTAGAACTTAGAACACCTACAGTGGTGTGCTCAAGAAAAAGCTAATCAATAATACAGCACAGAAAAGTGAGCAGAGATGAAAACAGCAGTTTTGGCTGTCAACAGTTCAAAGAACACGCCAAAGAAAAACACTACATACTTGGCCTAATTTGACATCTCCTCGACTTGGACGATAGATCACATGGATGTTACCGATAACAATCCTTCTTGATTCAGCTTCAGAGGTCTGTCTGTAAACAAGGAAGTCAGACATATAAAGGATCGAGCTGATGACAGACTGAAACCAACAAAGAAGGCTGCCCAAACAAATTTCAGTTTCAGGCTTTCAGCACATCATAAAGTAGAAAATGAAGGCAACAGCAAAGGAGTGGAACTAATTCTAGTTGAAAATACCCCTGGCTGTTCTAAGGGTATGAGACAAATCCAAAAAATGTGTAAATAAAGACCAAAAGAGAAGAATGCTAGATACTGTACATTCATCCAGATTATTCTTATCAGTCTAAATACGAACTCAGAAGCATTAATCGAGTGAGACGTACCTCAAAAACAAAGATTTGAGCAACATTATCGCGAAGACCAAGTTGCTTAAATTCGATGCTCTCTCCTTCTAAAAGACGCAACCTACCACCACAAGCGAACCTCTTAGACGACAAGTCGCAGCTAAACAAAGCAATCCATATTAGTTTGACTTCCTTACTTATCAGCTTTCCAGAACACAGCACATCCGTCAACCTTATCCCCAGTACACCTCTGCCATTTCCAACAAATTACAACAATTAACAGTCTCCCACAAAAGGGAACAATCATAATGCAAAACTTCACATATTCAACATATCAAGAAATGCTAACCTTATAGGAACCCTCATACCCAGCTTTCTGCATGACTTTGAGTAAATCAACGTACCTATCCACCTCCTGTCGTAAGAATGAACACACTTCCATCCGTTAAACATTCAGCCAGTTACCTATACAATACTCATTTCTTCATACCGATAACTGAGATAACGAAAATTAACAGGCGCTAACCTGTAGACAGATGACATCGCAATCGTACCCAGTTAATTCCTCGCAAATGAGCCTTCTGCGATAATCCCAATTCAAGTAGGCAGAAGGAACCTCCAGGTATAGGTCTCTGTGATTGAAAGCGTTTCGATCCCCCAGTATGTTATACGAGACAACGGTGATTCTCTCTGCAAAATCTCACACAATTGTTCATCACAATCAGATTGTTAGGCAGCAAAATTGAACTAACCAGAGAAAATTATTATCAATTTGCCCCCGCTGCATTCTGTTTGCTTTCGGAATACTAATTGAATACCTTGCGATGATGATGCAATTGGACGGTGGTCCGCGTCGATCCAGAGGCGGCCGAGAGGATTGTACCATTGGCGCTCGGACCATCGACGGCCATCCGAGCGGGTTTGTAAGGATGACGTCGTCTGCTCCGGCGAGTTAACGGTGGATTTGCAAGCACAGAAGAAAGCTTGAGGATTGGGGAAGCCGGGTTGAATCAGCGGCTGGCTGGGCCAAGACGGGAGGCCCCGGCCGCAGCTGTACATCGTGAGGTTTGGAGCGGCGGCGATGAGGGCTGGCGGGTGTTATCTTGAATTGAGGAGGGAGTTTAACGGACAGGGAAGAGCCAGCGAGCACACAGCATATACTCTACTGAATACCCTACCCTTTCGGCTTTCACTGGACATTTCTTTCGCGCCACTTCACCTGATCTGACGAGGATGTAGTTTTTTTTTTTTTTTGTATATTTTCCTGGATGAGGTAATTTTTTTAAAAAAATAAATGTATTTGATTTCGGCTAATTATTTAACGGTCCATGAATTTCCTTTACTATCAAATTAGTCCTTCAGCAATCAAGCATTATATTATACAACAATATATGCACTGTATAGGAGGCGCTATTAAAAAGGCCTGGTAAATCCGGAAGCTTATTACTCTGAAATTTCAGGTACTTAACTTCTAATTTGGGCAATTATGTTCTTCCCCTTGGAAAATTAGAACTAATAATAAGCATACTAATGAGGCTCACAAGAATAGCTTCTCACAATTGTATTATACAGTAAAATTTAAATATCTTATTCGAAGAAGAAAAAAAAAACTCTTCAAAAATACAAATGCAATCTCATGCGATACCAAAAGACAAATAAAATTTTATCATCTCATATCGTATTTAAAATCTCACGTGGTAAACTTAACTCGGACTAATTTAGTTGCTACACCGATCACAGAACAAAAAAATTGTTCCCCTTCCCAAAATGGTTCTAAATCTATTGGAGTTGGACCAACTTACTCCAATATTGAACTGAAGTGAAGGAGTTAATAAACCCATAAATGTAAGAAAATAAAAATTAAGGTACTAGATAGACCCTTAAGATGAGTTTGAGTAGCATATACAAGTCACAACTCTTACTGTCCAACAGAATGTGTATATATGGTGGCCAGCACATTTGCTCCGAATCCCCTAGTAGACAACTGAACAACTCCTCAATCTATCTTACAGTTACCGTTATCTGAAGAGTAGGCAGAAACAGCAAAGAGCCAGGGGTGTACCAATATCAGCATATCCATCAGTCTATAAGGATAGGAGCACATGATTTCCTCTTTCTCCTTCTTGCTCTCCTCAGTATTCGTTCTGTCTCTTCCTTTGCTTCGTCCATCATATAGTCTCCAGTGCCTTGGAAGCAAAACACCATTAGACCAATCCATCCGAACAACTAAGAACTAAAAAAAAAAAAAAATCACATTTCGATTCGTACCTGGTTCCTTTGGGTCGATTAGGCAGGACAGCCCTCCATCAATCTCCTCATCCGAATCAATGCTGATTCTGTCATTTCTTTCCTGCTTTCTGGACTGTCATCCAATGTATAAACAACAAATCAAAACTTGCTATTTTATTGTATGTAAAGACAGACTCCTGGTGAGAATCTTCACAAGAGAATCGAGACTTGATTGAGAAAATAATTTCGCTGTTTCGACACACCTAAGGAGGATTCTATTGGCACTTGAAGTAACCAGTAGAAAATCCAGAAGCTACAGCAGTGGCAAAAAGTAAGCACTTACTGCTGGTTCATTGTAAGAAACAAGTTGATGCTTCTGCTCCTCTTGCCGTCTTCCCCTTGATTTTGTATTTCCTCCCTTCTTAATGGATTTCCATCCTAGGGCTTCCTCCCCTGGAAAATCAGTTGCTTGAGCAGAAACCTTGGGGGCCACGCCTTGACTGCTTGAGGCAAAGAACTTGGAGTTAAAAGAGTACTACACAGTGCATATCAATCAATATGTAGTTTCAGCACAATCGCACAATCCCTGCAAACTCCACTACATTCCTTAAAGCCTCATCCGAGACCGACAGACAACAGACATAAGCACACTCTCATTCTCTACCCAATCACAGAAATGAACCCTGAAAGGATAAAGTAACCAAGCATGATCAACTTAAGGGAACATAAAACTAGTATGCATACATCTCGACTGTCCCTGGCTTTCTTTGCAGAGGGGAAGGAGTGCCAGCATCCTACAAATGTCAACAAGCAAGATGGCATCAGAGAACTCTCCTGTAAAAGAAAAGGTTTAATTACCTAGGACATAATTGTCAAATCTTAGTGATGCAAATCACCTTTGGTGGAAGCAAAGCAAGGCATGGATTTTCCAGGTTTGGTGTCCTCAGGCTGCAGATCATTGCCTATAAAAATGAGACATATCCAAAGATGAGCTGAAGCGCAACATCAAGCTGGAGGGCAGAAAACTATTGCAAGTTGAATACTTAGAATCGGCTGACAGCATCAAGATTGGCACTTAGAAATGATGTAAAATTCTAAGAACCTATTCACCAATACTCTAGCACTATCAGTTCAACCTGCAAAATAAGAAACGGGTATGTGACTTTCTTAGCTCATGGGTGTTTCATGAGCTAGCACACTCCCTTGTATCCAGTAAAAACTGTTCACTGCGGCATTATACTTACACTCCTTTTTCATGAGAGGAAGAGGAGGGGGAGGGGGAAAGAACAGTATGTTTACCTGAATTTCCTGCCTGCAAGTTGCACGAAGCTGATCTTGCAGTTTCAGTTGAGAGTCAGCCATTTGTCCAGGTAAGGCAGATAAAAGAAAGAATATCTCATCAATTCTGTTCTGCCATGCATCCTTTTCGAGTTTCTCAGACATAGATTTCAAGCTCCCATCCAAAGTAGATTTGACATCTCCAAGTCCCTTGTTCTGTTATTGCAGTAGACCAGTGATGTTAGAAAGGCATTTTTTGCATGTTAAGAAGGAAGTGCAGAAGAGAGAAAGGGCTTACCGTAAGTTCTGTTACCATTGTCAGCAGTGAAGTGTCACGGGCAAGTAACTTCTGCCGTATCCCTTCCACTGACAGAAATTTTGATTATGAAACTTGCTTTAGTAAACCAGTAATGAAAGACTTCATCCATAAGCAGAAACCATTATGAGTTATGACTGCTATCAAACACAAGAATTAGCCAGAACTTCAATCTAATCAATTAAAAAACTCACTCTCCAGCAGCACTTCTTTTGTCCCTTTGTTTAATTGCATAATATCACTTTGTACAGAATCCAACATCATGCCAACTTTGCTTAATGAGTTCTCCATAGTTCCAAGGCGGCGCTCAAGCTCTTGGCTCATATGGCCTGCTTAAACAAAGCAATAAGAAAACACTTACAATCATCTAGTTAGCTTCGACAATCTGGAAATAACCAGCAGACTGCCAGGTTTCCAAATTATGGATTCTCGTGATGAAGCTAAGCACATACATTTGGATTCTGCCTCGGAGCCATGACTCCATTTTCTCATTAGATTGCCAGAAGATCTCGTGATTGGAAACTGACTCTCTTCGTGCACATCGCTAGTTGGAAGGAGTGACGATGCCTTCTTCACACGGTTATCCTGCTCTTGTGAATTACGTCTTGTTGGAGGGAGTGACGAAGCCTTCTTCACACGGTTGTCCTCCTCTTGCGAATTAAGTCTCTGGTGGTTTTCATGAATCAATGAAGTCAAAGACCAGATCAGGGCTAACTTGCGTAATGAAGGCAGGAGAAAGGCAATTTATGCTGAAAAAATGATTTAACAGAGATCTAGCAACAAGTTCAGCCAACTGACGATTCTCTCAACTGAATCCAATGCTACATTCCTATTTCTGTCAGTTAGAGGTTCATTTTCCGTTCCTAAATTTTCAACTAGATAGGAGGATCTAAGCAGGAGAAGAGGTGGTGGAAGAAGCACCGAAGGACAGAAAAGTCAAAATTTGAACCTGATCGATGGTGAAAGCTTCATCCAGGGAATTCTGAGATAGCTGAGAGAAGACGCCATGCTGCGATGAAAATCCATGTGGAAACGATTGTTGCGAAGGCTGCGACCTAAGCTGCGATGGCTGTGATCCAGGTTGAATTCCGCTCATTCTCCTTCATATCAGCAACGCGACGGCAAAAAATTGCATCAGCACGTGATAAGACGACACAAGGAAGGAGCAAAACAGAAGACGGACGGCGGCGATCGAGGAAACCTCTCAACATTCCACAGCTAATCAGAGCTCATCGGAATTTGCATAAAATATGAATCGAAATCCAATTTCGGACCAATCAGGTTTTCACTACTCGAGATTTCGTGACAGAAGAGCCAATCAATGAGGAGGAATTTGTTTTTCTGACTCTTTTTGACATGAATTTATCGATCGTAAGACCAGAAATTACGAGCAGAGGAATCGGATTCAGAGGAACAAGAGGACAACGAAGTTTGAATCGAAGGAAGCGGAAATCGGACCTTGAATGCGGAGGAAGGACGGAAATGGAGCTGAGATCACACGCTCTGTTGAGCTTCAGCTTCATTTGAGGAGATGCCTGTGAGTCTCAACCGCTTGGCGGAGATATGAAACCCTAGTCGATCCGACTGATCGGAACGGAAACGAATATGCAGGAGAAGTTCCGGTAATCTCAAAGAGATAGGAGAGAAGGAGAGACAGAGAGAGAGATTGGGAGTTCTGAGTTGTGAAGCTTGGGCGGGAAAACGTGCTGGCTGCTACAGAGTGATGACTGGCAACTCAGAGATCGTACTGCTGGCAGAGCTGTGGCAAGGACTGGCGCCTCAAGATGGGCCTCCTCAATCTCAATTTTCCGAGACCCGAAGGCCCGTACTAATTCCTGCTGCAAAGCCCAAAAGTCGTACAATACATGATTCGCAATGGGCCAGGTCAGGCGGTGTTTCAATAACATATTACGTGGCAAATTGGGTAGTTTATCATGGAGAGCGCAGTCGAGACAGGTCAATCAATATAAATATATAATTTAAAGTAAAATATTATAAATATCAATTTTATTCATTAAAAAAATCAAGAAACAAACTATAATATGATAAGTGTAGTTAAATTATTCTACCAAAGAATGTACCGTGCAACACCCCGCCGGAGGACAGCTGGGAACAAAAAGTCACCGCCGCCCAAGATTGAGTTCCCACCTCTCGGCAAGATCGCCGCCGCAATCAGGAAGCTGTACCATCGCTACGACTACATGAGAAGACATGGTTTTACGGAATTCGTCAAGCGGTGGTGGCGTGAACACAAGTGGGAGAACCCTTCCCACGCGGAGCCGTCAATCGAACTGCAGCACTTCAAGCAGATAATCGTTCTACTGGAAGAATTAAAGAATATCACCACGGAGAATCAGAGATGCAATTCTCCTCTTCCGCCGTCGTCGTCCGTCAAAACTACTTCCCCAGCGAATGGAACACAGCCCATCACAGCCGCCGACGACCCAGCTCCAAATCAAGTGGGCAGGGCAACAGGACCGACGTCCCAAATCAGGTCGAACCCACGCCCTCAGCACTAGCGGGAGAGGTGAGTTTTGAATACTAGTCTGTGATCTCTAGATACTTTAGTACTTGGATACTAGTTCATGTATTTTGGACATCAGTTAGTAACTGCTAACGAATCTTCAAGTTAGCAGATTAACTTTCTCCACAAAAATCTCAACTTTTAGTTGAGATTGTACAATACCTCATTTTTTGTGATTGTAGGTGGGATCCACACAAAACAATACATGCATTGTTTCACACTTTGACAATTCCAAACGTTGTATTATGGACAATGCATGTATTCTATAAATACAACACTCACAATCACAACTTCCAAACGACCCCTAAGTGAAAATTATGTTTCATACGAAATTTTGACTTTGTAATACTTAGGGGTCGTTTGGATTGAGTATTTGGGGGTGTTATTTGGGGTCAAATAACACAAAATCTGTTATTTGACCCCAAATAACATGGTTGGCTGACAAAAAGTGGGATGTGTTATTTGGATGTAGTGTTTTGCCAAATAACAGGTTTGAGACCAAATAACACAAAAAGTGTTGTTTGCCAAATACTTGGGAGGGGGCAGGTATTTGCCAAACAACAAGTTTGAGACCAAATATCACATACCAAATAACAGATTTTATATTACGTGGTATTTGTGTGGTAATTGGCCCCAAACAACAAGTTTGTCAAATACTCAATCCAAACGACCCCTTAGATAATTTGAACTCTTCTCTGATACCAAATAAAATGTCATTTTCATCAAATAATGCAATTAATGAAATGTATCCAGCCAACAGACCGAACCGAAATTTAGTTTTGTACTATATATTTTTGTTTATTAGGCATGAGTTAGTTAATGTTAATGTTAATGTTAATGTTAATGATAGGGATGGCAAAAATATCCGTAACCGTGGATATCCGACCGAATCCGGCATAATTGGGTAGGGTAAAACCCGAACCCGAAGGACATTTAGTGGGTACGGGTAAAACCCGAACCCGAATATTGCGGGTAATGGGTGGGCATGGGTTTCTTACTATCCGACCCGAACCCGCCCGATTATACACATACATATGTATTTTGTCTAGAAATAATAATTATTTTTCTCTAACATATTTTATATTTAGCATATAAATCTAATATTTTCATGAAATTGTGTTGTTTTAATTAATTTTCTTCATTCTAGTAAATACTTGTCGTACCTTTTCTCTTACGTAATGTAAGAATACGTGTGAATGTTAACATATTGGTTGGAGTTATGAAGAGAAATTTATACCCATGGATAACCGTGGATACCCGAAACCCGAACGAGTATGGACATGGTTTTGATTTTCTACCCGTTTCACATGTGGGTATGGGTATGGGTAAAACCCGAAGTACTTTGGGTAGGGCAACGGATATGCACTATCCGCCCCCGACCCGACCCATTGTCATCCCTAGTTAATGATAATAATATCCCCTATACGATTCTGATTCTCACAACCATGTTGAAAAGATTCCTTTAAATGTTCTCTTTCCGCGAAAAAGAGATAACCAGCAGTGGGCCCCAATCCCATCCCCTAAGAAGCTTCGTCTTCAAGTAATCACAGAGCTGAGCTTGCAGACAAAAAAAAAGAGGGAAATGATAGAAACGAAGAGACGAGAGGAGAGTAGACCAGAGAAGCAGCAAGGCCCGTCATTTTCTTTTGAGCTCCAATATATATTTTCTAAATCACATTTCAGTTTCATCCGATTAAAAAATTAGGGTTTAAGCAGCTAAAGCAGCAAGCCAATGGCCTGAATATGGACAATCAGCTCCTTTTCACGCCTAATCGTGATTGAAATCCTGATTCTTTTGGGTTTTACCGATGGCCGTGGTGAGTCCAGTCCCTCCAATCACGCAGGTTGGGAGTCCGTTGAGGCTTTCTGAGTTTGGAGGTTCGAGGAAGATGAACGGCAGAAGTTGTAGTAGCAGCGCCAGCGAGGTTGCGCCCGTGGCTAGGATGATTGAAGAGAAGATATACGTCGCCGTTGGGAAATCCGTCAAGGAGAGCAAGTCGCTGCTTGTTTGGGCTTTGCAGAACTCGGGAGGGAAGAAGATTTGCCTTCTTCACGTTCACACTCCTGCTCTGATGATTCCTATGAGTAAGTTCTTCCTTCTCCCCAGAACTTCAGATACTTTACTCTTCTGGGCTTGATGATCACCATGAATTTGCTTCCTTTTCGTCACTATTTCTTGGATGGATGTTTGAGGCTCAAATTAAATTTGAACAATCCCTTGATTGCTACTGTCTTTGTCAAACCATTTTGTGATTCATGGATGATCAGGCGATCCTAATCTGAATTAGCTTATCCGGTGACCTTGGTGGCTGGTGAACGTTGACTGGTGATCTGGATTAGGCTTGTATGACTTTCATAATCAATTGCTTCAGACGGCTCACTTTGTGGTCATGGTTATTTGCAGTGGGTGCCAAATTTCCAGCAAGTTCGCTGAAAGAGAAGGAAGTCAGGGCATTCCGTGACATTGAAAGACAGGAAATGTACAAGATCCTAGCTGAATATCTCCGTTTATGTCGAAAAGCAGGGGTTAGTTCTGTTCTCTTCAATTCCTAATGTTTTACTTTGGTCAGGCAAACTTGTAAAAGCTTCTGAGCCAGATTGTAAAGCTGATCTTTAAACTGACTGGATAATTATCATGGTTTACAAGTTCCAAGGCTTGCTCACATCGCTCAGCAACAGACATGAGTTACTTCAAACTTGAAATCAGTTTTCTTGATTGGTGATGAACTCGTTTGAAATAATTTCAGTATCATGGAATTACAGTTTATTTTTGTTTCCTAATATTTTAGGTCCAGGCTGAAGAGCTGGTTGTTGAGAAGGAATCCATCGAGGATGGCATCCTTGAGCTTATCACTAGTCATGGGATTAAGAAGCTTGTGATGGGAGCTGCAGCAAACAGGCGATATTCCAAGTAATTGTCACTAGCTACACAAGTCACCAATGCAAATCTCAAATTACGTGGAAATGAACTGGTCCAGATGAACCAAAACTGGATTGCCTTAGTGGAGTAGCAGATTGCTTATGACTACTGAATGTTGCAGGACTATGATAGCCCCTAAGTCAAAGAAGGCCACCTCAGTGAAGGAACGAGCACCAGCTTATTGTCATATATGGTTTGTTTGCAAGGGCCATCTTATCCACCCGAGGTACTTGGTGTTACGGCGGTCTTATTGTTGTCTTCTCAATTGACGTTAAAGGGAAACATTCTTTCATGTCTTGTAACTTGTAAGTGGAAACCTGGGATTGAAATTTGAGATCTCACGATATGGATATGTAAGTCAATGAAGAGTGATAAAAAGTTTGCTATGATTTTTGTTTCAAACCACACCCTGTATCACTGATTCATATTTTCTTGTCAGTTTCAGTTCTTTAATTGTTCTAAGATTGTGAATGCTTTATCTGAATTCTACTGTTTTTTAACTCAAATTATTGTGGACATATTGATCTTGTCAAATCAGGCTTGCTACTTTGCATCAAGATGATGACACCAAATCCCCTCAGCAACAAGGGAGTCCAAGCATGAGAACTGGGAATTACCTGCGATCCCGTTCTGCTCAGGTGAAGCCTTCCAACCCAGTGCAAGATCTGTTCCGCAGGATGTCTTCTCTAAATCTTGATGCCGAATCCAATGGGGGGAGAGAAACACAGCCTACTATGCCAGATGATACTAGAAAGGTGGGAACACCAGGGGCCAGGTCAGATGCAAGTTCTGATGAATGTGAATCAAGGAGCACATCACAGGGTTCAAATCTATCAGCAAGTTCTTCTGGTGAAATGGTCAACCTTGCTGTTGTTCCCAGTTTGATAACTGTAGGTAGTTTCATGGCTTCAGAGATAAGCACTTTGCCAGAGAATGCAGATGGTCTTTATCATACATCTCCTCCCACTGTACTGGTACTTTTTTAAACATAGATGTCATATATTCCAGTAGTGATCTGTGTTCTTACCAGTTTCCTCAGATTGACAAATGATGGTTTCTGACAGGAAAGAACTTTAGTGGATCCTCTTTACGAACAGCTTAAACGGACAATGGAAGAGTCTATAAGCACCAGGAGGGAAGCACTTGAGGAAGCACTCAGGCGTGCAAAAGCTGAAAAGAATGCCATTGAGGCCATACACAGGGTACGTTTTCCTTTCAGAGTGACGAGCCCCCTTCCCTTTCCTTTCCGGTGGATTCTTTTCAATGCCCACCTTAAATGGGGAATGTCTGATGACACATGTAGATAGAGAACATTATACAGATGGAACCTGATGGTAGTTGATGCTATGTCAATTGACTTGAGAGGTCAAAATTTTAATTGCATACATTATTTGCTGATTTTATCAGTGTGCCGTCGATGGGTCAAAATTATACTAAACACTTGTCATTGTCCATCAGTCTTCTACAGAATCTTGATCTCCAGAATGCTGTGTCAAGTTAGCAACTCCTTAACCTGTAAAATAAGAGAATGGAAATGAAAGGGAAGACTTTGCGGACATAGAATAATTATTGGGGACATTTTCCGCAAGCAGGTGGCAAGTTTGCAACCCATAACCTGAAAAATAAGAAAAGTGATAGAATAGGAAAGAGGATGCTGACATAGAATTAATATTGAGAACATTTTCTGCCAACAGGTGAAGGCATTAGAAAGCCTCTATGCTGAAGAGTCAAAGCAAAGAAAAGAGATCGAACAAGCAATAGCGAAAGAAAAAGAAGAAGTTGATGTCATGAGGAATAACCGGGACAAAGTTAACGATGAACTTCGTGTTGCCTTGGATCATAAAGCATTACTAGAAACCCAAATTGCTGAATCTGATCAAACAGTTAAGGAATTTGAGCAAAAAATCTTTGCTGCCGTTGAGCTGTTGCAAAAATACAAGGAAGAGCGCGAAGAATTGCAGGTGGTGCGCGATAATGCACTAAGGCAAGCTGAAGAGCTGAGGAGAAGTAGAGCAGAGGCTTCAAAAGCAACAATGGATGAGTTCTTTTCGGAGTTCAGATTCACAGAGATCGAGGAAGCAACTAATAACTTCGATCCATCTTTGAAGATTGGTGAAGGTGGATATGGTAGCATTTACAGAGGGGTACTGCGACACAGCCAAGTGGCTATAAAGATGCTTCACGCACATAGCATGCAAGGTCCCTGACTCACTCCTACTGTCACCCTAGAAAATGGCCAAGTATAACCACTTCCTAAAGCGTAGTATAGCGGGTCGGGTTTTAATGTCAACCCGGGTCCTAGATGTGATGACTACTCGGTGAATTCTTGTTATTTAGCAGTGAACTTTTAGTGAAACTCAAGCAAACAAAACACAAAGCAAGTAAACGGTTTGTTGTCAAGTCAAGAGAGGTCACCCGGATATGGTTTCCCCCTAGACTGCAGTTAAGTCGGATTGCAATTTACCAAGTTCAGTTTTCATGAAAGTTATACTGCGGAAGGTTCTCAATTAGCCTGAAGTCTCGACTAAAGGTCTCCAGACCCTCTCAATCTGAGTCTCTAGCGGGCGACTAACCTCCACCGGAGTAAACAGATTGAGGCCCTAATGAGCCAAACCTCCACTACCGAATCGACTTCGGTACAGAATAGCGAATTGGCTCCTCGACTAAAGTCACCAATTCGCTACCTTCGATTAAGGGTACTCTATCAACCTAGGCAGATATTCTCATTCCAGGTTAAAGCAGAAACAACAGGAATTTGATCAGGATTCAAGTCATTCAATCAATCAAACCTCAATCGAATATAATCAGTTCACAAACACTGTACTTGGGTTCATACAATCAGACCTAGCATACAAATCTAGGGTTCTCCATACCCAGATGAATGGGGAAACTACTCCATAGAGAAAGAAGCAAAAGCAGATTCAGACACGGAAATCATACTGTGAAGTTGGATTCCTGCTTCTGGACGTTTAATCGCACTTCTCCAAGCTCAAGACGGGCTCCAATGGTGTTGAAGATTGATCTATGGCGCTTGAGAACTCTGGTTCGACGCTTTCTCTCTCTAGGTATCGGTTTCTCTCTCAAAAACTCGGAACCCTTCAATGTTGGCCTTCTTCTCTCTTAAATCCTCTGCCTGGTCGCGATACCCGGTCAAAATACCCGGTCGGGTATTTTGGGTTCTGACCGGGTATCTCTGCAACGCCCCGTTTCACTAAAGAGGGAAATACCCGGTCCAACACCAAAATCCCCGACCGGGGATTTAACTGCTGTGCCCGGGCCCCTCTCTGTTTCTCGGGCGCCCAACCTTGGTTAATACCCGGTCGGGTATTTGGCCACCTGACCGGGTATTTTGCTCCTTCAGCCCTATTCGTCCCAACCTTGCTCCTTTCGACCCAGAACTCGTTTCTCCGCCTCGATTCCAACGCCGGGACCTGAAATATGACATAAACACACAACCTAGCGTGAAATCGGCTTAAACCACGAGATTCCTCGTCGCAAACGGCCTCAGAATAGGGGTAAAAACATGTATAATTATCGATCTATCAAACTCCCCCACACTTAACCGTTTGCTTGTCCCCAAGCAAACCAAGTCAGACACTAGGTAAGCTTACATATTCAATCAACCAACATTGGGGACAAGTCATAAAGGCACAAAACACGTGAATCACACTGGTTTTCAACCATCAATACATGCACAACCTCAATAACAACCTGGACAACCACCACAAAGGACATTCGAGTGCAGCAAATCGAGTAAAGGAAGAGTCTCCCGTCTGTTCACTAGCCAACCTAGACTTGATTCAACCACTTACTCAAAACAGTCAACTCATGCATCCAACTCAAAATATCAGAATAGAGACCGAGCAATCTAGGTCCTCACCGGGGTACAAGAGCATATAGAAAATGAAAATGAATCACTCACTCTCGACCAGTGGGGTCAGGACAATTTTGATGCGAAAGATGCGCATGCTATTTCTCTCAATCCCTATCATCTCTTCACCATGATGGCAGCCTCTAAATGCTAGAGTTCACATATGGGGTGTCACCACTAACTAATCAGGAGGTCTTAGACACAGGTTCAAATGACTGACTAGGGTCTTGGACATGGGGAAAAGGCCTTTTAGGTGGTGGAAGTATTCATAGCAAAAAGGTTCCACATTTTCCAAACACACAATCACAGTCAAACAACCCTGCATTTTCTTTCTGCTATTCTGCATTACTCAATATCTTAAGAGCACAAAAGCGAAGGAGGCATAATCAACAGCATTTCCAAGCCAGACTGCTAAGAAACACTACTTACTGGGCATTATTCAGATTTTTAGTAGTGGCTCTCTTTTGCTTTCAATTTTTTTCTTTATTTTTCTTTCATTTCTTAAGAGAGCCACCACTTCTGCATAAATTTCAAACACTTGCCCAACTTTTAAGCACTACCTCCAACACTCACATAGACTTTAGCAGAAACAGCAGAGAATACATAAAACCACTCTGTGGAACCTTCTAAAAGATGCAACAAGGGTGATTTTTTCCATTATAGACCAAAAGAAAGGATAACACACGGCTCAAAGGGGCTGACTAGGGGATATGACACATCAGGACAGTCAGTTTCGGGCGTGGGCTAATCCTATGCCCCCATCATTTTAGCTAGTGACAACGTGAATGCTACACATCATGGAAGAGGGATCTATCGCACAAGAAAGAAACGAGCAGGCTCAAATCTCACATGGCTACCTATATGCTCTATCTCACATTCTGATACCCTGAACTAGATGCATAAACGACTGTCAAGGATAAGTAATCAGATCAAGTCAGATCAAGTCACAGTTGGCAAGCAAACAGTTGAAAAACTGAACCCCTACATCGTTCTACTGCACATCTCAGTCCTCATCATAGGTTGTCCTAGTCGCAAACAAGGTGGCATGCATTAATCCGAAAACCAATCAACTCATCTATCAAAACACAGTGCCAATATGATCAAACAGCAGTACTTGGAGCCCTCAAATCGTAAGATTTGGACAGTGGACTAGGCTCCAAGCACACAAACAGAGCTAATGCAGTCACAAGATAAACATCCCCCCACACTTAAGATCGACATTGCCCTCAATGGAGAAGAGGGAAGGAAAGGGGAACGATGTTACCGGTGTGCACAGACTGCAGAAGACTGGAAATGGACCAGTCGGCATGGGACGGACTGGAGAGAGGACCAGTCGGAACACAGGCAGAGCTAAAAGAGACCAAAAAGCTCAAACACATACGTTAGGTCCAACGGTCAGCCCAATAGTACATAATCCAGAATGAAAAGAAACAAAAACCGACACAAAACAGATAGTTTGCATGCTGACACAGATAAAAACTCTCAAACAAAGCCCCTAGGGCCCTCCGAGACCGGAGAAATCAATCTGATCCATAAGGTCGTCGACGCCATCATCCGGTGGCTGCCGTGGCGGTGAATGCTCCCACCGGGTGGTCCAGTGGTGCTCCTCTGGAGGGTGGCAAGCCTGGAGCAGATGCTCGGAATACTCCATCAGACGGCGGCCTCGATCTCTCTCCCGCTCGATGAGAGCAGAAGTGTGGCCCATGCTAGTCTCCAATCGGCCTAGGCGCTCATCAACGCCCGTCATCCTGGACCGGAACTCGGCCTGGTGGGCCGAGTACTGCTGGTAAAACTGGACCTGATGGTCCATGAGCTGCTGGTTCTGAAGACCGAGCTGCTGGAACTGGAGCCCCATCTGCTGGAACTGCTCCGTGAAGAAGGCCATCGACGGACCAGAAGGACCAGAAGAGGACTCGCCTCTCTCCGGTCTCCGTCGAGGCTGAAGATCCCCAGGAGGGGAGAGCGGGGGCTCTGGCTCAGCGGCATCCATAGCGCCGTCATCATCATCATCGGCGTCCTCATCGACCTCCTCGCCTTCGTAGTCATCATCCTCCTCGTCCTCAGCAAGGTCCACATCCTCCTCGGGGGGCAGAGAAAGCCCATCTACCCAGGTGTGGATGCCGTCAGTGGCCAGGAGTCGTGCACTGTGGAGCACGTCCCGGCTGAGGGGGGCGGAGCCGCCATGCTCGGTCGCATCGTGAAGCCCCTCGAAACTGATCCCGAAGTGGCGGGCCAGCCGGGTGATCAGAGGACCGCAGAAGAGGTGAGTGGGATTCCCGCGAACTCTGGAAAAGGTGGTGGCCATGAAAGAGCCCAAGTGGAGCATGTCCTCCGGATCCCCCATACAGGACATAGCGTAGAGGACCCGCTTCGGGACCTTGTGCGAGCCGGTGGCGTTGGGGACGACGGAGCGGGTGATCAGCAGGTTCAGAATATGCCACGCCGGCCGGAGAGTGCTGACGTAGGTCTGGCCAGCCACAAAGAAGTCATCCCCATAGGCGGCCCGGACGACACGCCTGTAGAAATGATCCGCGTGCCAGTCGGGCGGGTTCGGGAGCTCGACAGTGTGGCCATCCAACGGGTTGTACTGGATCCCCAATGCGGAGGCCAACCCATCAATGGTCAGCTGTCGTGGGCGGCCACCCAACCGGAACTTCACGACATGGGAGTCCCGGGTCTTCTTCTTGGTGTACTCGAACGTGGTGTAGAACTCCCACACCAGCTCCGTAAAGGTGGGCTCGTCAATGGCAAGCAGTGTCCGCCAATCGGGGTGACTGATGGCGGTGGTAAGCTCCAGCAAGCAGTGGAGCTGCTCGAACACTGCCCACTCGAGGTGGTGGTGCTTCTCCAACTTCCCCTGTATCACCTTGCGGAACTGGTCCGCATACTCCCCGTGCAGGCTCAAGCCCTGCACAAAAGCATGATCGAGGGACATGATCCTGCACAAACAACAAGCCAAAGGTGGAGCCAAGAAAATACCATGTCAGGACTAACGGCATGGGGTGAGCACTTCCTCCACACGCAGGCTCATCTAGGCTAACAATTTAAGCACAGCGGGTTGAATTGCAAGCAGAATCACGAAATAAAGCACAATACGCACACGGGCAGCCCATCGACAACATATACAACCATGCAACGAAAGTCAGCCCTCACCCTACTCTAAATCAAGCAAGCAAACATAGTTCTCGGTCCTAGAATCTACAGTCCGATTCTCCATAAACTAGAAATGAACGGGAAACACACCTGGAGACACAAGGAGGACCGTAGCTAGGACTCGAAGAGGGGGTGAGGGGACGCGAGGGGGCCGGAAAAATCACCCCGGAAACTCGCCGGA